TGCTGTGCAAGGACGCGCGTTAACTCTATGACTTGTCGATATAAGTGTTGTTCTCCATTTAAGTTGGAAGAGATTGGAAGGAATGCGTTTCCTTGAACAATGGAAGTGTGGTAGACTCCGAGCGCGAGATTTGAGTTGGAAAATGTCAAATCTGTAGAGAAATGTGGTGAAAATGCCCCTGGTTCGATCGTAGGCCCATAAATTTGAAGCTGGGATAGTTGAACTAATCTTGGACCGATATGGGCTGCTAGGAAAGCCACGGGAGCAGGCTGGGCCACGGGAGTAGGCTACTCGGCAGGTGGCACACGTGGGTGCGAGGCTAGGGCACGGCTTAGCAACGCGTTTGGTTCGCATCGGGCTTGAGTGGCTCGGGCAGTCTCACCTTGGGCTTGGGCCCATGTGGGCTTGAATGGCATGGCTTGGGCCGTGGTTGTGGCATTGGGGCCTTGCTGAGGGTGGCTACCGTGGTGGTTGTCATGGTGGTGCCCCATGGGGGTGGTGCCGCTCCACTTATTGTTGTGTTGAGCCTTGTAGATCGTCGCGGTCCTAATCCTTGAACGTTGGAATTTTCGTTCGTCAAGGTTTCCGAATCTCTTGCCATTGTACTTTTCTTTTACGTTTTATCGAAGAATTTTTAGAAATAAAAATTCCAAGAATTATAACGTACGAAAAATCTACAAATGAACAAGAAAACGAAAAACCTTGAATGTGAGAGTTTTCTACAAGCGTTTGATCAAGACTTTCAATGAAATCACCAATTTGTGGATGCAATTTTTTTCCTCCTTGTTCTTGGACAAAATTGTACCTACAAAACAAATAACACCTTAGGTCAAGGCCAAGAGCCTCATGCACCCACGATGAATGAGGGGGGCTTTGGCCGAAGAAACTCTGATGCCAAAGTTAGAATTTTGAGGGAAAAATGTTTAGAGAATTTAGAGAATTTTGCAAGAATGTAGAACTTGGGTTTTGGAGAGAATGAAAGTGTTTATATAGGGGTGTGGCCGGCCCCCTTGGGAGGAGAGGGACCGGCCACTTAGATGGCTTTTTGGGTTAGGTTCTTAATTTGTAGCTAATTAGTAAATTAATTGAATAATAAATCAATTAATTAGCTAATTAATATAATTTGAAAGGAAAGATTTAGGGGTTACCTTGGGGAGAATATTTGATTAGGATGGATGAAATATGTGTTAAATAAATACGTATTTTGGGCACTTTTGACTTGATTGATGGATGGTTGTACACTGCTTATGCGTAAGAGTTTCGATATTCCTCGAGGGTAGTTTTGTCATTTTCACCCTAGAATCCATGTGTCAACTCCATATTCTTCTTGATTATTTTTTAGGAAAACTAATGAAAATGGCTTGAAAACTTTGAGTTTTAATGATAAGGACAAAATAAAAGGTAAAATGAATAGTATCAGGTTTGACTTTTTAGTATAAAAATGTGGTTTTTCGTTAAAGTGAACAGTACCGCGGGTTTTTCATTAAAACTCCTTTTTTTTTTACTCCACGCAATTGGTTAAGCATATACATGTCAATCTCATATCAGAAAGTTTAGGAGTTTTGTTATTCAAGTCACTTTTGTTGGCAATTAGTTTTAGAGCATGTTAGAAAAGAATCGTGATCACAATCACCATCCCTACCTTCAAGGAATTAAATTAGGCGCTAAATTGTTGTAATTGATTGATTTGTATTTTTTTTCTTCCTTCATTTGATTTGTAGGGATTCGTATATAAAGTTTACTCCTACGGCGGTATCAAAGAAAATCATTTTGGCAATTAAGTTTTTCGCAAATTTTATAGAGCGGAACCTTAACTCTTTTTTTTAATTTTTTTAATTTTTTTAATTTTTAATAGTGGTCTATTTTTTTTTTTTGAAAAAAATAGTGGTCTATTAGAGCAGGCAGAAATTTTAACAGAGATATTTTACTACAAAAATATTATTCTTACCACATATTAGTATTATTCTTCTAATAGAGATATAATCCATATACATTAGTATGCATTACCTCTATGAGAGTTATGATACAAATATATGGTCAGTGTAACATTACTTTTTAACTAAGAAAACTGTTGGATGGGATTTGGACCTGCCAATGGGAATGCGAATTGCCGTAATATATCTCTTACACAAAAAGAAAAAAAAAAAAAAAGAGATTCGACTGAAGTCCAAACAGACTAGCAAATTAATAGATGAACCATACAAAATTGGTATTAAATTTTTTGTCATGAATTATGATTGAAATTCTATAAATTTAATTATGCACTTCTCATAAGAGTACTTTTATTTCTAAATATAAAAAATTTGAAATGTACAATTAGATATTTAGAGTGACAATAACAATTTCATTTTTGTAATCATTGTGGATTCATGCATGAACTTTCTCTGTACGTACCTAATCAGATCGAAATGTCAGATTTTGAGACCATCCATAATGCACTTGGATTCATGTGATGTCAATATTATAATGTAAACGTCTCTTTAAATCAAGTATTATCGACTTCCAATTTTTTTATTCTGGAAAAAACCATACCAACAACTAAGTCTAGAAATCATATCTGAACCAGCTGCGGCAAAATTAGGTCAATTTTGAATCTTTGAGGGGTCGTGGTCTGTGCATACGAGTCTATGACTATATGAGAGTGTTTGATGGGTCGTGGTCTGTGCATACGAGTCTATGACTATATGAGAGTGTTCAAAGTTCAAAGTTCAAAGTTCAAACCAAGAAAGTATATGCAACCAACCAAAATATAATATGAAAGTAAATATACATCCATTGCTTCGTGCTTGACCATATTAGCTTTCAACATTCCAACAACCTGGTATACAACGTCTTTGTATACCTTTCAGAGACGTACACCTTCAATTGTAGACCTTTTTGAGGGAGCTAGAGTGTTCAAATGGCAGCAAACATTTAATTTCTTTTTTTATGCACGTAAAGGATTTCCAAGATTTGCACCAAAACTCACATGAAATGGAACAAATTAAGGTGGCATCATGATGTTGGCACTCCTCTTTTATTTGCATTTTTTTCTTTGATATATGTTTCCTGATTTTATATATTTATTCTAGGGTAAAAGACTGTTTACTACCCTCATGTTTCGTGGTTTTCAACATTTAGTACATCAAGTTTTTTTCGTCTCAGAGTCATACCTAAAGTGTAAATTTTGGGACAGTCTCATACATCCGTTAGTCAAACTGTTAAGTTTTTCGTTAACTGTGACGTGGCGCACTGACTGGGCGCCACGTGTCATCTACGTTTTTTTTTTTTTTTTTCTTCTTCTTCCTTCTCCTTCTTCTTCTTCCTCCGACTGCAACTTTCTTTTTTTTTTTCTTTTTTTTTTTTTTTTGCTTCTTCCTTCTCCTTCTTCCTTCTTCTTCTTCCTTCCCCTTCTTCCTTCTTCTTCCTTCTCCTTCTTCTTCTTCTTCTTCTTCTTCTTTCTCTCTTCCCTCCGAAATCTGGGGGAAGTTTTGTTTTTTTTATTTTTTTTTCTTTCTTTCTTTTCTCTCTTTCTTCCTTCTTCTTCTTCTTCTTCTTCCTCCGACTGCAATTTTTTCTTCCTCCTTCTCCTTCTTCCTCCTTTTTCTTCTTCTTCTTCCTCAAAAAAAAAAAAAAAAAAAAAAAAAAACTTTCATCTTCCCCCAAATTCGGAGGAAAGAAGAAGAAGAACGAAGAAGGGGAAGGAAGAAGGAGGAGGGAAGAAGGAGGAAGAAAAAAAAAAACTGAATCTAGGCAAATTCGGAGGAAGAAGAAGAAGAAGAAGAAGAAGAAGAAGAAGAAGAAGAAGAAGAAAGAAGAAGAAGAAGAAGAAGAAGAAGAAGAAGAAGAAGAAGAAGAAGAAGAAGAAGAAGAAGAAGAAGAAGAAGAAGAAGAAGAAGAAGAAGAAGAAGAAGAAGAAGAAGAAGAAGAAAAGAAAAGAAAAAAAAAAAAAAAAAAAACGTAGATGACACGTGGCGCCCAGTCAGTGCGCCACGTCACAGTTAACGAAAAACTTAACAGTTTGACTAACGGATGTATGAGACTGTCCCAAAATTTACACTTTAGGTATGACTCTGAGACGAAAAAAACTTGATGTACTAAATGTTGAAAACCACGAAACATGAGGGTAGTAAACAGTCTTTTACCCTTTATTCTAATACATAAAAAGAAGGGAGTGCTTGAAAATAAAAAATGTTAGTATTACTACTCGTGAAAATATGAGTGATTAGTTTGTGATATTTAATTACCTAACAACTTACGAAAAAAAATTCAGTGCAATAGAGTATTTTTTTTAAGGGTAATGCTAATGAGACTAAATTTGTAGATAAAATTTTGAAAACTAAAGGACATGGAAGTTGATGATTGATTTATTACTTAAATGTTGATAAACGTGCTCATTTCTATTTGTGACACATCATTTAATTTGCAAATTTAGTTTTCAAATTTAGTATCCATAACATTATTATTTTTTTAAATAACATCTTCAGACTAACTCAAGAGTCGAGAGATGATGAGATAATGAGTTAAGGTTATAATAATTTATGGCTCGATTCTCTTTAACGTAACATTAATAAAAATGATAATTAAGACTAAATTTGGTGATAAAATTTAGAAAGCTAAGGGACATGGAAATTGATGATTGATTTATCACTTAAACGTTGATAAACGTGCTCATTTCTATTTGTGACACATTATTTAATTTGCAAATTTAGTCTTCATAACATTACTTTTTTTTTTTAAAATAACATCTTGAGACTAACTCAAGAGTCGAGAGATGATGAGATAATGAGTTAAGGTTATAATAATTTATGGCTCGATTCTCTTTAATGTAACATTAATAAAATTGATAATTAATTTTTCTTATAAACATTTAAATTAGAGAATGTGAACATATACGAGAAACTTAACGATTGAATCGCCAAGTTAGACCAAGTCAGAGTTAAACGTAAGTATTTTATAATGGTAGGCTTGGTAGCTAGTAAGCCTTCATCAAAATTTTCACCTAAGATCAGACACTCGTGTAATTAAAGATCAAATTTATAGGATATATAATATTAATTTGTATGACTATATATTACAAGAAGCATACATGTAAAAGCTATAAACAAGTAGCACCTAGAAATAGCTAGACAACAACCGCAAAAACATTACAAATAATATATTGCATGGAAGAATGGGAACTATTTACGAGATTGTTCTTCTATCGATCAATCAGCTTGCAAAATACTTCCATAATCCTTTGCACTTTTGAATACTCTACTTGTCTAGTCTTTTGAGTTTTAACATTTAACCAACTGTTTGGTGTGCATGTGAAATGCATAGACTTTTTCCCACGAAATCTTTTGGACTTTTCAAAATCTTCTAATTTGCAGCACCCTCTTCACATTTGACTGTTTCATCTGCATGTGCAAATGCAGCCATTCTGTCATTATTCTTTCCTACAAGCTCTTTCGTCTTGAGACATTCTCTCTCCCAATCTGTCTTATGAACCACTGTTAATATGGACACCACACATGTAATTTGAGCTGCTAGAAGTCCATAACAAAGCCCTTTAAACCCTAACCTCCACACAAACGTCAAGACTATTGCCACAGGCGTACCCACCATGTAAAATGAGTAAAAGTTAATCCATGCCCCAATGCCTGGCCTAGCACTTCCTCTCAAAATCCCACAACTTGTAGTTTGTGGACAATTAGCAATCTCACATAGTCCAATAATTGGTAGCACACTCATTGTTAGCTCCAAAACCTCACTATCATTTGTGAAGATTCTCCCCCATACTCCTCTCCCTAGAGTGGTCAATGACAAGCCCAACAATGAGCTCACTAGTGCCATCCCCACGGCCACCACTGCCGCTAAATGTGCCTTTTTGGGTTGGCCTGCCCCTAGCTCGTTGCCTACTCGTGTAGACACTGATGCACTTAGTGCCGCTGGTAATGTGTACATGAGAGATGTGGTTTGTATCACTATGGCTGATGCTGCCAGGGCAATGTGAGGTTTTTGAAGGTAACCAGTTAGAATTGTCATGAACTCGTACCACCACCATTCTAAGCAAACTCCTAAGCAACTTTGGAAAGCAAGTCGAATTAGGATCCTCCATTCGTCAGCTCCTAGTGTTTTCCTCAACGAAAGTGGTATTATTTTTTTGGGTAATAATGGCTGGGACAATAATTGTGTGTTTCATACTTAGTAGTGGGTTCACACTGGTCCGTTACCAAACAATAAATAGATTTTTTTGTGACATGGGCGTAGACCACATAGCCCAAAAGAAAAAATAGAGTGATAAAATTGGTAAGAGAAGTGGAAATTGCTATTCCTTTGATCCCAAGGGAAAGATTGAAGGTTAAGAAGATTGTGAGAGGAATGTGTAGAATGGTTGCTAGTAAAGTGGACCACATCAATGGCCATGTTGTGCTTTGACTACGTAAAAAAATACGTATGGGATGAAGAAGGCTATTGGCAAGAAGATCCGGGATGGCAAATTGGCAATACAAGCTAGCAATCTTTGTTATATCTTGGTTTTGATGGAGGAGGAGCATGAGAGGTTCAAGATTGGCCCAAAGCAAACCAATAGGAAGAGAAGTGAGAAGCAATAAGAGAATGGTTCTTTGTAAAGTGTGGAAAGCTATGGAGAAGTTCTGTGAACCAAAAGCTTGGCTGCATAGAGGCTCCATACCCATGGCCAAGCCAGAGAGGACTGAGTAGCCAGTGATGTTGGTGAAGCCAATGCCTAAAGCTCCACCTGCTAGCTCAAGACTTCCAAGCCTTCCCATGCATACAACTAGGACCATGTTTTTGAGGTAACCCACTAAACTCATGGCCGCAATTGGGAAGCCAATATTTGACATTCTGTGAAGTTCTTCCACCACCTAGAACATGTTCAAAATTGGAAAAGATAAAAAAATTGATTAAAAAAAAATAATAGAAGTTAATTAATGATACTATGCGATGAAGAAAATTCTTTGAATGTTTGTGGGATTTTGTACCTCTGGCATTGTCGGGCACTTGTGGGATGGCTCTGCTGCTTCAACCATGATCTTTGTTTCTTTTGCCTTGTTTCTAGCTTGCTTGTTTAATTCCTTGTGTTATGAGAGACAGAGAGGGATCGGAGAAAGAGGGGCAACTGTCTTGGGAAATTAATGAATGTACGTGCAAGGTATTTATAAGGATCGATATATGGGAGTTCTGCCGGTGAGATTGATCGAGTTTTCTTTTGTTCTCCGGTATTTACCTATAGTTATCTCTCAAAAGGTACAACTTTTTCACAGAATGAGAGCACTTTAACAGTTGTTTCAGAGCAGTAAAGTTGGTTAGAGTGTATATATATATGTAAATTACTTAAAACCTCCTATGCGATTCTTTTATGAGCAATTTTTTGGCATACCCAGAATACGGCTACGTACGTGGAGTTATTGTTATATCAAATATGTGGACTTGTTTTTCTTTTTTTTTTAATTTTTTTTATATTCATATAAGTGAGACATGTTGAGAATGAATCTCACGTTGATGAAATGAAAGACTTTGCATGTGCTTATAAGTAGTTGTGCTCTTCCCATATTGCCAATTGAGTTTATGGTGGAACCTCAACTTTTTTTCATGGTATCAGAGCAGGTTGTCGAGTGTGCGAAGTCCAACGGCCACACATGCTCCACGTCACCTGAGTTATATTGTCCACGTGATAGGCTTGAAATTCCTCACGTGTTGGGCTTGAAATTCGTCACATTGATAAGAGGAGGGACCTTGCATGTGCTTATAAGTAGTTGAGCTTCTCCTCGTATTGCCTTTTATGATGGAACCTCAACTTTCTTCAAGACATATCAACTCTATCATCCAATTTTATCATAACACATAAAATAGTATACAAAGTGACTTCTGCTACCATAAAAGTTTCTCATGATTCTGTAACCTTTAATTTGGCCTCACTTGAGTCACACACTTAAAACAATTTGTATTGAGTGATGAGAAAGCATGTGTGGCCTTTTAGGTCCAATATTTTTTTTTAAAACTATTATATATGCAAATTTTCATGTTCCGCAGAGAATACTATCAACACCTTCGGCTATAAGTTAAGAATATGAGATAATTATATATTGATACTGATTTACAGTACTTGATACATTATGGATCATCAAATATCAAACTATTGAAAAGGTGCCTTAATATTCGGTGCAAAACAATCGATACTTTTTCCTTAAGAACATATTGAGGTACACAATACCAAACATTGGAAGGTAGAGGGATATGGACCGAATGAAAATAGGCATGCACATGAACCTTGTTTAAACCGTGTGAATATTTAAGCAGTAATCGTGCCCTCATGTCATACCCACGCCCCTATTGTTTTAAGCACATTTTGTCAGTTTTCAAAATAAACAAGAACATATCCACCATCTCTCTCAGTACAAACCAAACACCAGTCTTTATACTGCTCGATTCTTTCTTCACGTGAGGCAATTTGGTGACTGTCAATGTCTTTCTATTTCCTACATTCTTATTTATTAATATCCTCAATATTACTTTTCAAGTCTTTCTACTAAAATATATTCATTATTTACGAATATTGCTAAAGTTCATATCCTCTTTGCTGTGCTATGTACTTTTGGGTTTGGCACAAGTACACACTTTCGTCCGTCCAAAAAAAAAAAGAGGCACGAAGTACTCACAATTTTATTCAACTTTCATCCATGAAACTTAGTATTTGTAATATTTTCAAGCAACAAGATGAAGACTGTGTGTCACTAACCTTACACGCATATTTATTCAGCAACTACTTAAATTCGGTATCAACACAAAAACATATACAAGTAGAGAAACCTACTTCCTAAAGTAAGCATTTTGTAATTAACTAACGATTGAAACCATACAAAACATAATTCCCACGAGGGCACCACCATATATTGCTTGTCATAAGAGCCTAACTGAATGAGGCATGAACCTGATACATCTATTCATCAAGAAACTTTTAGCTAGTTTAATTTGATTCTAATTAGATTTCTTGAAGAAAACTCATAATATGTACCTTTTTTGATGAATTGTTAGTGTATAATTAGGTCACTTTCTTCTCCAATCTCCTATCACATGGCCCCAATGAAGTTAATTGGTGCACGAGGTGGCCTTCATGTGCACATGTGTTACTTAGAGAGTATATAGAAAATTTAGGTAGTGATGGAAGCATTTTCTTTTGCGTCACATGCATTTTCAACATGTGTTTCAATATAAACCAAACCATAAGAGGGAAGCGGACCAAACAAGCCAAACCTCCACCTTTCTTCTTGAAGCACACAGCTTGTTTATTAAATTTACTACAACCAACCGTCCTTTCTGTATCAACTAGCTCTTAGTTTCTTCTGTTGCATGCTCTAGGTTTGAAAGTTAGCTGAGGAAAAACAAAAGGATCTTGGTTATTACTTACCCCAGAAAAAAGGTTGGCTTAATAAAACTTATGTTCTTAAGGGCCGTTTGATATCCTATTAAAAAAAATTCATAAATTTTGAAAATATTTCTTAAGATCATTTACAACAACAACAACAACAAAGCCTTTTCCCACTAAGTGGGGTCGGCTATATGAATCCTAGAACGCCATTGCGCTCGGTTTTGTGTCATGTCATCCGTTAGATCCAAGTACTCTAAGTCTTTTCTTAGGGTCTCTTCCAAAGTTTTCATAGGTCTTCATCTACCCCTTCGGCCCTGAACCTCTGTCCCGTAGTCACATCTTCGAACCGGAGCGTCAGTAGGCCTTCTTTGCACATGTCCAAACCACCGTAACCGATTTTCTCTCATCTTTCCTTCAATTTCGGCTACTCCTACTTTACCTCAGATATCCTCATTCCTAATCTCATCCTTTCTCGTGTGCCCACACATCCAACGAAGCATCCTCATCTCCGCTACACCTACGTGTTGATGTTTCACCGTCCAACATTCTGTGCCATACCGCATCGCCGGCCTTATTGCCGTCCTATAAAATTTTCCCTTGAGCTTTAGTGGGCTACGACGGTCACACAACACACCGGATGCACTCTTCCACTTCATCCATCCAGCTTGTATTCTATGGTTGAGATCTCCATCAAATTCTCTGTTCTTTTGCAAGATAGATCCTAGGTAGCGAAAACGGTCGCTCTTTGGTATTCCTGATCTCCGATCCTCACCCCGAACTCATTTTGGCCTCCGTTTGCACTGAACTTGCACTCCATATATTCTGTCTTTGATCGGTTTAGGTGAAGACCTTTAGATTCCAACACTTCTCTCCAAAGGTTAAGCTTCGCATTTACCCCTTCCTGAGTTTCATCTATCAACACTATATCGTTTGCGAAAAGCATACACCAAAGAATATCATCTTAAATATGTCTTGTTAACTCATCCATTACCAACGCAAAAAGGTAAGGACTTACGGATTGTTGATGCACAAAAGCAGTGAGGACTTTGGTACAACAGAAAGTATTAAGTTTGTGATCTTAGCTAGATTGCTCAGGTCATTAGTGTGGATAAGTATGTAAATGGATAGAGACAGGAAAGCAAACACAAGATGTATGTGGTTCACCCAGATTGGCTACGTCCACGGAGTAGAGGAGTTCTCATTAATTGTGAAGGGTTTACATAGTACATAGGTTCAGGCTCTCCTTTAGTGAGTACAAGTGAATGATTTAGTACAAATGACATTAGGAAATATTGTGGGAGAGTGATCTCGTAATCACGAAACTTCTAAGTACCGAAGTGTGGTATCGTCTTCACTTGCCTTATCTATCTCATAGGTAGATGTGGCATCATCTCTGGAAGTACTCTTCCTCCATCCAGGGGTGGTATCTTTAACTGGTGGAGATGCACAAGGTAATGTATCAATTTCACTTGAAGCTTACTTGTAGTTTCAGGCTTGGTCAAACGCGATACAAACCATGTAGTAGGAGTCCCCCAAGTCGCCAAGCTAGGGGATCTGCTGAAAGAGGTGACAGATAAGGTAAGCAATCAGAGCTCCAAGCAATCAGTCTCAGATTAGAAGTTTGATTTCGAGTTTCGGCTGATTGTTCTCATTCTCCCTATCTTGTAGGCAGCATGAAGGATAAAGAGAAGAAAAGGAGAAGAGGTGATATGAGATACTTTTGCTTTTGAAGAAGTAACTTTCCACATGCTTATTCTTGAACTGGGCTGGAGGGTTTTCTAGTTTCCTTCAGAGTATAAGGCCGACTGAAGAATTTGAGGGTCAAAACAAGTCCATTAAATAGAGTACGTTCGACCCTGCTGATATATGATACTTTTGCTGTTGACAAAGGAGTGGATGTATCGGCACGTGTTCTGTTATGCTTGTCTCCACATGCTTCCTTGTATCCTTCTCACTTGCCTTATCTGTTCCTCAAGCAGATGTGGCATCTTCTCTAGAAGCATAAGATGTTGAAGATGAGTACTCGAGAGCAATGCCAGATAAGTAATCAGGTAAGGGGTTCCAGACAGTCAGTTCTTGATTGGAAGCTTGATTCCAAGTGTTGACTGATTGCTCTCTTTCTCCTTGTCTTGCAGGTAAAAACAAGGCCAAATGAAAAGACAGGGAAAAAGCATGATATGAGATACTCTTGCTTTTAACCCTGATGATATGAGATATTCTTGCTCTGGTGTAGCTTGTTTGCAGAGGTAGTCTTGGGAGGAAAGAAATCTGAGTATTTCGAGAGGCTTCGTTGGGAGTGCCCTCTCAGATATGAGGAAGGGTTGAGCATTTTTGCAGGTCTGCCTGTCCGTTGAGGATGGAGGTCGACAAATATAAGAGTCTCTCTAACAACAAGTAGTAATGCTATTCCTTTACCCTGCTTGGTCATAGCACGGTAGTGGGAGCTGCCAGCTTCACGTGTTTTAACCCTGTCAGAGCACTTTGAAAAAGTGGTTTGTGGTAACTGGAAAGCTGATGTTGCGTGTGAAGATTACAGACAAGCTTTATCCAAGGAGATCTGGCTCTCGAAGTTGAGAAAGCGGTGTGAAGATTACAGACAAGCTTTATCCAAGGAAATCTGGTTCTCGAAGTTGAGAAAGCGGTGCCTCTTCGGTTTTCGAACAAGCAATCCTGTCAGGGATATGTCTCTCGAGATTCGGAGAACGGTGCCTCTTCAATTTTTAAGAAAGCAATCCGGCTAGGAGTTTGACTCTCGAGATTCGGAGAGTGGTGTCTCTTCGATTTTTGAGAAAGTAATCATGTTGGGAGTCTGGCTCTCTAGATTCGGAGGGCGGTGCCTCTTCGATCTTGAAGCAAGTAATCTTGTTGGGAGTGTTTTCTTGAATGTGAGTAAA